CTGTCTCGTGTTTTTATGAGCTTTTCTTGAGCTGAGTTTTTTTTATATCTTAAGCGGTGTCCTGTCAAGGATAAAGTATAAAAAATGCTTTTTTCTTTCCCCTCTCTTCCCCAATGTGGATCCTATCTTTCCACAGAGATAAAGGCAGCACTGTAGGAAACCGCCTGGGACCTGGGAAGCCAGGTAACCGGTAGGAACCTGGCAAGCCATACGCTACTAGATGCCCTCTGTGGGATTCATGCTACCGAAGGATTTTAGTTATGATGCTTTAAATTTCAAATTCCAACCTGTCCATCCATTGCTGCTAAGGGATGGAAGAGGTTAAGTTCAGCAGCAGAAAAACAGAGAAAAATTTCATTAAATTTTTTGAAGTCAAGATTTATTTGTTGGTTCAGCAGCAAAGAAAATAAAGACGAAACTATGAAACAGGCTGACGGATGAGGTGGGAATCACCTGTGCTGCTGCTGGAATTTCCACAGCTTGGTGTAGACGTCGAAGGTCCTCCCAAAGTACGACTGCCACTGTTTGTGTCCATACTGAGGAAGATCTCTGCAGCAAGGAGGAAGAGGAGGCATGGTCAGACAGAACCAATGTTAACATCCAGGTTCCCTCAGCTCCTGGCTCTCCTCAGGACGACTGGTTTCATTTTAACATCAATGAGTTTATTTCTAAGACTCCAAGGAGGAACAAAAAACGTATTTTTCTTTAAAGAAGTCGATTTTCTGTCAGAAAAGATCTGAACCTGGATTCCCCTCTGAGCTGAACACTGAGCCGGCGCCGTCTTCCAGATCTAATGCGCTTCCAAACGTCTGAAAGCTTCAATGTTTGATCTGAACAAACCTGGACTTTAAAAATAACCTCGTCCCATTAGACAACATGAACCAGATACTGCTCATTTATTTCATTAATATCTGAGAATCAGAAACACATTTATCTCTGGGAAAAAATCATAGGAAACATGCAGGGAAAGGGAAATGTGGAAGGAAACATGAAAGAAGAACTGGAAGGATATAAAGAAGGAAAGGAGGTAAGAAATAAGGAAAGGAAGGATAAAACAAGGAGGGAAATGTGGAAGGAAAACTGAAAGAAGAACTGGAAGGAAATAAAGAAGAAAAGGAGGTAAGAAATAAGGAAAGGAACGATAAAACAAGGAAGGAAATGTGGAAGGAAAANATAAAGAAGAAAAGGAGGTAAGAAATAAGGAAAGGAACGATAAAACAAGGAAGGAAATGTGGAAGGAAACCTGAAAGAGGTAGGAAGCATTAAAGGAATCTAAGAGAAGGTAGGAAACGTGAAAGGAAGCGTTGAAGGAAATGAGGTAGGAAACAAATGTAGTAAATTAGGAAGGAAGGAAAGGAACCATGGCAGCTTGCTGAAGCCTGTTTTTCTTTGCAGATGTATTAAAAGGAGCTTCTCTTCAGATCTGAATCTAATCTGCTCTCTGAAGCCTGAAAATAGTCTGCGAGCGACGATGAAGTCATTCTGTCCGTGATTCAGATCTGAGTAGGAAGCAGCAGCATCTCTGACTAACAGCCTCCCAAAATCAGCTCAGATCAGACAGATGGAGGCTTTCGGTCTTTCACTTCACTCCGGAGGAACTTTGATCCGATGGATCTGCTGCTCACTCTGGTTTCTGCTCTCCTCTCTGATGGCTAAAGGCTGGACTTTGACTAGGCCATCCTGTAGCCGATCTGCAGGCTCAACAGAAGGCTCTATCCTGAAAATTTATTTTATCCCAGAGCTGTTAAATATTGCAGTTTTTGCTTTAATCTATCTTAAATGAAACGAAGAAACCGCTTTTCCTTCCACCGTCATCATAGCCTGCACCCTTTCACACGCTGTAGATATTTCATCACAGATATGCAGTATCTGCCTCCTTGTTTTCTGTTGCCTTGTTGGCCGGCTGTCGCAGCCAAACTCAGCAGGGGAACCCCCGCTGCCCCATATGGCCGATCTGCGTGTTTGCAATCTCTCTGAGCTGGTTGTGAAATCAGCTGTAACAACAGAACAGAGCCTGTCGACTGAATAACTGCTCATTTATTCCAAGCTCAGCAGAATCAGCAGCTTTTTCCATTCAGTCCAGCTTATTTTTAAATCTCCCTGATATGAGATGAACAAATGAAAAACATTTCATTAAGAGTGGGTTTATTCACGGTCTGAAATCTGAACCGGTCGGAGATAAAACGTGGAATCAACGGCACCGAACCGGAAGGAGGAAGGATTCTGCTTGGACATCAGAAGGAGGCTCCTGCAGACTCAGCGAGGAGCGGATCAGGAGCTAAAGGTTGCTGGATTGAACTGAACTGACCTCAGCCCGTTGAAGAGCTGCTTGGATTTATCCAGCAGGTAGCAGAAGTCCGTGACGGTTTTTCGTTCTCCTAAAGGAATATCATCCTCAGTCTCCGCTCCAGTCATGACACTGACTTTTCACACCTGGGAACAAACAGAAAAACCTGCAGTCAGTCTCGGCTCAGGTTAAACTAACAGGAGAAAAAAATGGCTGCAGTTGCTGAAGAAATATTAAAACAGAATGGCAATAAAATAATC